TATATATATATATATATATATACATACAAAATAGCCCCCAAGCAAAACTAAACATTTGAACCCCCAGTAACAAAAGTTACACAGCCTCAGTATCAGAGCAGGCCTAATCATGGCCTCAAACATTGTCCCAGCAATCATTTTTGCACTCTTTTATATATATATATATATATATGTCTGTATGTATATAGATATCTACATACATACATACATACATACATACATACATACATACATACATACATACATACATACATACATACATACATACATACATACATACATACATACATACATACATACATACATACATACATACATACATAAATATAAGTTTAGAAAAATATAAAATCAAACTTACCCCATATTTTTCATAGTTTAAATGAAAGAGCACTATACCTCAAACCCTGTATCTATCCCGAATATGTATATAGATATCTACATATATACATACATACATACATACATACATATATACATACATATATACATACATACATATATACATATATATATATATATATAAATATGTATATAAGTTTAGAAAAATATGAAATCAAACTTACCCAATATTTTTCATAGTTTAAATGAAAGAGCACAAGTAAGGTCAGGCATATAGTGTTTAAAGATGTCAGTCACCAATTATGTTGTCTTTTAAATCCAATCAATTGAGTTTAGATATTGAGCTTATGTCACTACTAAGTCTTTAGCAATCATGATAGGTGAAAAGTTGATTATCAAAATTTTGATTTAAATGATATGTATTCTTATCAAATGGTCAAACCATCATCAACTTTGGGCTTAAGAAAAGTGAATTTCCATCTTTCCGACTTAATCCCGTCACTTAAGAATCGTCTGATATTAGTTGATTTCCAAGTCATGAAGATTAGGAGGATTATGATTTTGTTGATGTTATGCAAAGATAGTGAGTGAGTTTCTACCTTTCAATCTCATTGTATTCCAATCATCCAAATATGTTTATTAAGATCAAAATTACTCATTTTCCCTTTGGTTAATCCTAAATTTTGATTAAGTTAATATTTTTCCCTTGGTTAATCCCAATTTTTGATTAAGGCACCAAAGTTTAAAATTTCACTTTGTCCTTAGGGCACTTCACCTCATAACTCACTAAACACAACTCAAATGAATTTAAGAGTTTAGAGTGTCATATCCATGAGGTAATTATAATGTTGTAGGAGAATATGTGGACCTCTCCAAGTTTAGTTTAGTTTAGATAATTATTTAAATTTAGAAGATAAGGACTTTCAAAGGTTAATTTATTTAATTATCCAAAAAGAAATTTGTGTTTATGAAAAAATTATTAGAGATATCTTAAGGTCAGATAAACACTTAGGCAAAATTTCATGATTTTTTTGAATTAAATTTTTATTACTATTATTTAATTTTTAATCAATTTCAATGATTAAATTAAATAGAAAATAATGTTTTAATTACAAAAAAAAAATCTTTTTTATATTTTCAATAGACTTCTCTGAATTTAGAAAACTCAAAGAACCAAGTTTTGTATTTTTGTGATTTTTTAATTTATTTATTATAATTATCTTAATGGGAAAATATGAAAAATTCATTTTTAAGCTTTTAAAATTTATTTTTTAACTTAGAAAAATTAGGAAAAATATCCTAATGAATTTTAGGTGATCAAGGGACATTTCCACTCATTTTGAACCATTTTTGTATTTTTGAAAATTTTGATTATTTTAATTATTTTAAAATCAAAATACATTAAAAATGAAATATTTTCACAAAAATGGATTTTATTTTTATTAAATGCCCCTGGTCACAAGGAACTTAGAAAATCAATTTTCATAATTTTTCTAAGCTTATTTAATTTAATATAATTATTTTTACACAAAAATACAAGTTTACCTTAAAAATATATTTTAGTGCTCATACTAAGTCAAATAAATTTGATATTTTTATAGTGAATAAATATGATTTTTATGAATAGTGGGAAAGTGATTTTTTCAATTTGTTATAAGTATTTAATTTACATAAATTAATATAAATTATATGCATTTAATTAAGCATGGAAATATACAAGATGATTCAAAACATCACAATTCCTAGACTTTTCTGACCACAGGAAACCTACTAAAATTATTCTCATAATTTTCCAAGTGATATTTTGACTTATATAATTAAAATAACAAAAATAGTCACCTTAGCTTAAAAATTAGGGCTAGAAGCATAGATGTGTCCTCTGACCTTGGAAAAATCATAAGACATGGCCTCTGTCATGAGTAATGAACCCTCAAAATTTCAGGCCATGATGAGCAATGTTTAGTCATAGAGAATTGAAATACCACAGAGGGTATTTAATTCATTAAAAATCACGAAATAAGAAAATAATTTTTATTTTTTGTCCACATTATTCTCCTATATTCACTGAGCAAGAAAGTATTTTTATTTTATTTTTATGATTTTTTTAGAGAAAGATATGGAATTTTGAAGTTTAGACATTTAAAATAATTCAGAAAATCCCTATTTTTCTACTTATCCACACGACGCCGCCTCAACCTACGGCGGCTCCAAACTTACGCATGACGCGCTCTCATTCGACGCCGCCATCCACTTTAGCTGCCACGTGGCCTGCAGTTCACGTAGCATCCTCTCGTCAGGCTTGATCTCCTTCGTTGTTTGGATACACGTGCGATCGGATGGCTCTCCGTTATCATCCCCAAATGAGTTAACCCGTAAGCCTTTCACACTAAAACCTTAAGATCTCGAGCTAGACTCAACCAAATTTCATGGGGTTTGTCTCTAAACCTTCATCTACTCTAGAAGAACCTATACATATGGTATTTTCTCATGGTTAATCAAATATAAAATCAATCCATTACAAATGAAGAATCAAAATAAGCTTGGATATGGGTTGAGGTTCAATACCTTTGTCTGAGAGGGGAGGCCTCAATCAGATGGTTGTCGTAGCTTCGATTGGAACCAACGAACCTCTGGATGAAGTCTCAAGCCTTGGTGAATTTTCTAGGTATGAATTTAATCAAGCTCGATTTCTGGTTTTGCTTTAGATCTAGGTTAGAGGCTGATGGGGAATCAACTCCTCTTGCTCTAGGGATGGTGTGTGCACAATTAATTTGAGTTTGGTTGACAGTGGAGAGATTTCCTGGTTTGAGCTGAAATTTTAAGCTCAAAATTGGGCTTCCACAATGGGGATCAATGGGGGAAAATGATGGCAATGAGCTTAGGAGTCTTGGAGAGTGTTTGAAAGCAATTAGACAGAGTTTCAGCAGGGATTTTGACACACTCTTCTCTTTGGCCATGGAGAGGCTGATTAAATAGAGAAGCTTAGAGGGGAGCTCAGGGCTAATTGATGGGTGTAAAATGGTGCTTAGGTGGAGGGCTGAGGAGCTCTAAAGAGTCATTGGGATGAGCAGGCCTCTGAGGTTGAAATTGGGTTAGAATTTGAGCTTGGGGGTCTCGGTTTTGGTGTTTTCAGGCCACCAGGCCAGCCAGTAGGGCCAGGGGTGGCCGCCAAAAGGTCAAGTGAGCCAGGGGGGAGGCTTAATTATAATTTACTCCTAATGTAAGTGATGATGGAAGAGATTTTTGGTTAAGGCCCAAAAATGGGATAAGATCCCTTAATTTAGGGACCCACTTGTCCATGGTGTACTTGGGTGGTTTGAGAGGGTTTAGCTTGGTCAATAAGGTGTATTTGGTGGTTGTGGGGTCATTGATTTGGTGGCTTAAACATGTTTAAGTCAATTTTGGTGCATGGTTCAACTTGGGTCCAAATGGCTAAAAGTTAGGTTTGGATTAGGCTAGCTACGATATTGAGCCCAATTATTTGATCAACATTGTGTAGATGATTGTAATAAAGATTTTTTGTGAAGTATTAAAGTGATTTCAAGTTCAATTGAAAGCTCAATTTGAAGGATTTTGGGATTTTGGTCAATTTGGGCATGTTGGACTAGACTTGGGTCTAGGTTGGATTAAGGTTGGACTAAGTCCAAATTAATGATTGAAAATGGTCCATAGGAATGTCATGAAGAGTTTTCAACACAAATTGGGTGTCAATTTTGGGGTTAGGACATTCAATTTAGTGGAATTTAGAGACGGCCAATTTGGGGATATTTTGGAGATTTTTGGGCTTGGGTTAAAATTAAGTGAAATTGAGTCTTCACCAAGGCCAATTAAAGGTTCATTTTGATGTTTAGGAGTGTTATGAAGAGTTTAGTACTCAAATTGGGGCAAACTGAGTAGGCTATGGGATTCAATTAGGTGAGATTAAGTCATATGATCAAAATTGGGGTTTTGATTTGGATCAAAATTGAGCTCAAAGAATGAGCCAATTAGGCTTGGATTTGGTATGGATTTGTCACATGCAAAGTGA